ACTTCCAATTTATTTTAACCTATAGGGCATGTTGTGATCTGTGGGGGAAACCGGAGTATCCGGAGAAAACCCACGCATGCATGGGGAGAACATGCAACTCCACGCAGAAAGGCTTGATACCATCCCTAACCACTAGCGGGTTTGGGGATTGACGCCTCTGCAAGCATTAATCGTCCCGCGGCTGCAGATCCAGTTGGCTGCTTTGACAATGGAAGCATGGAACAATGCCCACTTGAACTCAATGTCCCCCACCTGTTCAAAATTCTGCTAGAGGTGGAAATTGAAGCTCCTTCTGACAGGAGACTCCGTAAGACGTTCCCATCAGACCATAACAAGTGGGAGACACATATGCTAACTGTTGTAATTCCTACACAGTTTACTTAATTTGGATGTTAATACCCTCAAGTTAAAGTGGACAGTCTGCAGTTATAGCACATTGTATTGGTTTCATTTCAAATCCATTGTGGTGGTGTATAGAGCCAAAATTGATGCAGGTAAAATGGGGGACAGAAGTGTCGGAACCTTTCTCTGTGTTGAATGGAGTCAAACAAGGCAGGATTCTGTCTCCTGTCCTTTTTAACCTGTACCTTGACGAGCTGTCTGTTACTTTGAATGATAGTAAGACTGGATGCTTGGTGGGTGACCGCCTTGTAAATCATTTAATATATGCAGATGACCTAGTCCTCATGTCTCCCTATAGCGCAGGCCTGCAGCAGCTGCTCAGGGCATGTGCTAAGTATGGTGAGCAATTTGACATCCTGTTTAACCCTAAAAGGAGTGTGGTTATGATTGCTGCTACGAAAGGGGACCTGACGCTTAATTTTCCATCTTTTAACTTAACAAATCAGGTCCTCGAAGTGGTAAGCAAAGTAACATATTTGGGGCACATTTTAAGAAGTGACCTCTGTGATGACAAGGATATTAAGAGGCAATGCGGTAAGCTGTACATGCAGGCTAACACTCTGGCACGTAACTTTGGCATGTGCTCAGATTCTGTTAAAGTGTCACTCTTTCGTTCCTTTTGTACTCCTTTCTATACAGCCCACTTGTGGTGCAACTATAGGAAGGTAGTAATGAAGAAGCTTCAAGTGGCTTATCAGGATGCTTTTAGAATCCTCATGAAGCTCCCTAGATGGACCTCTGCAAGTCATATGTTTGTTGTGAGTAACATCCCTACTTTTCATGCACTTCTGAGGCTCTTCATGTATAAATTCATCTGCCGTCTGAGTTTGTCAGCTAACACTGTTGTTAGAGCACTGTCTTCTTTAACTTACAGTGACACGAGGTACTCCTCAGTCCTTTTTAAACATTGGAACAACTGCCTATATGGTTTTTAATTAGAATGTGTTTTTATTTTTATTTTATTCTTGTGATGGACATATCCCTTGTCTGAAATAAAGTTTGAATTGAATTGAATTGATACAATTGTGTCCCAATATTCATGGTCCGGACTGTACATGATCTTGGAAAAAGTAAAAATAGCATCACCTTAACTGGTCTGTATTAATTTAGACAAATACATTTTTTACTGTTTCAAAAGAAAAAAAAGTGTGTTTTGTTACTGACTACAACTTCACAGCCAGGCGGAGGGAGACTAGGGGTCTTCTCACACACCTCTGGCTGCCTGATGGGGTCTGGATCCCTGGGCTCTGTCGGATCTCTGCTGGGGTTAGGCGCCCTTGGGTCTCGGGCCGCTGAGATTCAAACTTGGCCTGCCCTGGGGTGTGTGGCTGTGGGCTTGCCATTATTATCTCCTGGGCTTCTGGCGAGGCTTCTGGTTGCCTCCCTTTTCCGGAGTGATCCTTTGCACCTCTCCAGAGGGTGTTGGGGCTGCTCCGGTGTCAGTCTCCCTGGGGTTTCCGTGCTCCGAGACAGACCTTGGGTCTTTGGGGGCAAATCTGTGGCCCCTCACACTCACTATTGGGCACGCCTATGGAGAAACCTTACCATCCCCACGTGCTTTAAAGCCACATCAATTTTTACGGTCCCAAAAACATCATCTCCCTCCTGCTTTAATGACTACCATCCTGTTGCACTTACTTCCATCCTTATGAAGTCCTTCGAACGGTTAGCCATGCAATGCATCAAGTCTGTTCTGCCCCCTTCCCTGGACCCCTTCCAGTTTGCATACCGGCCCAACCGCTCGACTGATGACGCCATCTCCACTGCACTCCACTCAGCACTCACACATCTGGACAAAAAAGACTCATATGTCCGAATGCTGTTCATAGACTTTAGTTCAGCATTCAACACTATCATCCCCCAACAGCTTACTCAAAAACTGGTCCAGCTGGGTCTCAACACCTCACTGCGTAACTGGCTGTTTGACTTCCTCACTGGAAGACCACAAGCAATATGGGTCGGCAGAAACACATCCAGCACCATCATTTTAAACACGGGGGCCCCTCAGGGATGTGTGCTGAGCCCCCTCCTCTTCACTCTGCTGACCCACGACTGCACACCATTACACAGCTCTAACCTCTTCATCAATTTTGCGGATGACACGACAGTGGTGGGTCTCATAAACAAAGGGATGAGATCGACTACAGGAACGAGGTGAACCGCCTGACCACGTGGTGTGCTGACAACATCCTCTCCCTGAATGTGGAGAAGACCAAGGAGATTGTTGTGGACTTCAGGAGAGCACACACTCAGCATGCTCCTCTGACCATCGACGATGTGTCTGTGGAGAGAGTGAGCAGCACCAAGTTCCTGGGTCTGCGCATTACAGAGGATCTCTCCTGGATGAACAACACCACAGCATTGGCCAGGAAATCACAGCAGTGTCTCTTCTTCCTCTGCAAACTACGAAGAGCAAGAGCACCAGCCCCCATCCTGTACACTTTCTACAGAGGCAATATCGAGAGCATCCTGTCGTGCGGCATCACTGTGTGGTTTGGAGCCCGCAACGTATCCTGCCTTAAAACCCTCCTACGCATAGTGAGAGCAGCAGAGAAGATCATTGGGGTCTCTCTTCCCTCCCTACCAGACATTTGCAGCACCCGCCTTACAAAAAAGGCCATTCACATTGCGGCTGATCCCACTCACCCAATGCAAAGCCTCTTCGAGCTGCTGCCGTCAGGGGGGAGACTGCGGAGTCTCAAGGCCAGGACTAACAGACAAGGACAGCTTTATCCATCAGGCAGTTAGGAAGCTAAACTCCCTCCCGGCTCTGCCCCCTCTCCTCTCTTTTCCCCCACAGTCTCACTGAACTCGGTTACTTTGACACGCTCCCACTCTCAGTGGCTGCACAAGTCATTTTGTGCAGTATCGATCTGCTAATTACCTCAAAAGACTTCTGTCTGTCACTTATGGCAATATTACAATCTCCATTTGCACTGTGTGTCTAGATTGCACTACTTTTTAACATTTTATTTTTTTTACATTTGTAACACTCTATTTTTACTAAATGTTTATTTGCTATCTAGCGAGGGTTTGAGAGTAACATGTTATGTATCATCATGTTGTCGGCGCAGTGATATTTTGGTTCTGTTGTATTTTTTGTGTTCCCCTTTTCTCTCTCTCTCTCTCTCTCTCTCTCTCTCTCTCGTTCTCTCATTCTCTCTCTCTCGTTCTCTCTCTCTCTCTCTCTCTCTCTCTCTCTCTCTCTCTCTCTCTCTCTCTTTCTCTCTTTCTGCAGGTCTAGAAGCAAATTCTCTTTGATTTAAACAACCAAATACATTTCGAATAAAGCTTTGATTTCAGGTGGGGCAATATCTGAGTCTTTAACGCTCCACCTGTGAAAGTAAAAACTGTAAGGCTCGTTTTTGGCACTTTAACTTTTATTTCGATTGCTTTACAACTGGACAGGACACGTGAGAAAAAAGGCTAACTGAGAATCTACACTAACATGTTGAACGAAGCAGCTTGTTTAATTATTTGCTCTTGTTTACTTAATGAGACTTACTGATTGTTTGTGTCGTTGCACATTTTTCTGTGAACCTGTTTTTCTCTTTGATCTGACTGTGTGAACTAGCAGCTGTGGAATCTGGTTTAATGTCTCTATTATAGAGGTGTAACCTTAGGCTCTGGCTATGATCTGCAGTGTTTCTCTAAATTTCATGGTGAGCAGGTTGTGTTAAATGGTAACAAACATGCTCTTGTATGTTTTGAACCAACAGTTTCTAAATGTATTTTCTCTTTTTATAAGAAAACTGGGTAAAGGTTTACAATAAGGGTCCCTTTATTAATGTTACTTAGTGCAGTATTAAGCATTAATAAACAATTTAATAACATAATAAGAACTGCATTACCATAATGCATTAACGAGCAGATGCCTCTCTGGCCCTTTGTGCTAACCTTAAGGACACTTAATAGTTAACAATATTGGAAACGTTAATAAAGGACTCTTTTGATTATTAATGATTAATAATGCAGTAAGTAACGTTAATAAAATGACCTTATTGTAAATTGTTGCTGAAAACTCTAATTTTTATAAAAATACTATATATTTCTGTTGAGATTAATGAAATTGAGAAGCTGTTCTTAAAGCAGAGGTTAATAGGTTGGAATAATACAGACATGAAGATGCACAGTCTGTATGTGCGCACAGGACGGGCATGGCACTACCTCCTGGATTTGGGAGTTTGTGCTTTGTGGAGACATGCTAGACTTTAGACTATTGATTTAATCAGTATCATTTGTTCTTGTCAGTGTGTGCCAGGACATGAGCTGTTAGCCTCTTCGCATTAGAACAAGGAGCCACTGAGAATCATTTAACTGAAGTTTTCCTGGCCAGAAAAATGTAAAATGAAACAATATTGTCTCAATTTGTCAAATATGTGAGCAGGTAATACGATATCAGTGTTTACTCTTTAATGATGTTTTCACCTGAGCCACATCTCTTTCCTGGTGGGATTGTTAGTGTAATTTTAAAGTTTACTGGATTACTAGAATGTTCTGATGAAAACAAATGTGTGCTGTGTGCTGTGTGTGTGTGTGTGTGTGTGTGTGTGTGTGTGTGTGTGTGTGTGTGTGTGTGTGTGTGTGTTTGTTTGCAGGGAGCAGGGGGATTTCTCTGACCTGTGTGTTGACCCCCTGGCGGGTGATCGGGGTGTGTGTAACATTGATGACCCTGGGAGCCATTGGAGCTGCCGTTTGGGCCGTAGGTCAGACTACGTCGCTTTCAGAAATAAACACTTATTTTTTCTGATCTTTGATGATCTGCTTTCTGTGAAATGTCTTGCTTTTTATTCTGGCGCTCCATCTGTCAAATAATGTTAAGGTTTTACTATTATCAATGATCTAACTAATCTGTTGTGTATTTATTTACTTTTCTGTAGTTACTTATTGCACCATGGAAGAAGACACAGGATTGTACGATGGTGAGTTAGAGAGAACATGTTGATGCTTCTCAAAGCTTTAATCCTGATTCCTGCATGTTTGAACACAAACGTATGAGCACATGGAAGAACACATGCGCACGGAACATTTTGCTTCTGTGTGTCTTCTGTGAGGGCGGGCTGGGGTGGATTTTGTAGCCATGGTGCAACGCCACGCCTGAGCCTATATCTGAGTAACAGTGCACACATTTAGAGCTCATACTTTTAATTAATTTATTAAGAAATGTACCAATAGAATTTAATTGGATTTTGAAGTATACAGAAAATTTACAAAAATGATGTAATCGACACATATAGTAATAATTAATAAATTATGTTATTCCATCCAGACACACGCACTTCTACCCCTTCAGAAGGCTAAACTGTGAGAGGTAATTTGTTTAAAATCAGTTCTCGTGAAGATGGTAAGAAACACAAGCAGTGTGTGACACATTAAAAAAAAGCCCTCATTGTTTTTAATTTGCAGCTCTGAGCAGCACTGTTTCTCCATGCTATTTTCATGAATCAAGTAGAATTTAAAGTTAAAATGTTTGTTTTTTAATCCTGTGATTATTTTTATAAAAAATGTTTACGTGATATATTTTATTTCCTAAACAGGTCTGTAAATTTAGAAGTAGTCCATATTTATTCTTGCATGATAAAAGTGATTTTAACCTCCGCTAAACAGTTTTTCTGCCCCCTGCTGATGTAAATGCACTCTTTTTAAAATGTGAACTCAGGATACTGATTGTGTTCAGTCATGACTTTGATGTGCACCAAAATAATTGTAATGATTATTTAGTCCATAATCGAGCAGCACTAGCTGTTTTTTTGTTTGTTTTGTTTTTGAAGTCTGTCAGTGACTTGATGCAATTTGCTGGGTTCCTTATATCGGAAACATTTTTTCTGATTGGCTTAATGAACTGATCTGAATTGGAATGTTTATTATGTGAAGTGCCTTGAGATGACTCTTGTCGTGATTTGGCGCTATATAAATAAAATTGAATTGAATTGAAGTAACTTTTCTTTCTGTCACTCACAGTTCAGGTAAATTCACCTGACCAACATCTCAGGATCTTCGATCCCGCTCAGCGGAGGTGGCGTCAGGTGTGTTCCTCCCCAGCTAATGAACTTCTTGCTAGCATCAGTTGTGAGGAAGTTGGATTCGTCAGGTGAGTCAGATCTCCTGATGTTGTGTTGTAGAGGCCTTTTTGTTGGCATGAACTTCTTCCATTAATGCTGCTACAGTGAATCTACAGAACAAGCTAGGTTTAGGATGCAGAAATGGTGACGGGATACTTAGACCTCCCCTCGGGTATCTTCCCTGTGATACTTCTACTGGAATTGGAATTGGAACCCTGCATTGCCAGAGGAAATAATAGAACGCTAAAGACTAGTCGGGGCAAAAAACAAACAAACAAGAAACGCGTGGATCAGCATGGATAAGTCCACCACACCAGAAGAGAGCCTAACACTGGAGGATTTGAAGTCTTATTTCCTGATATTTGAACATCTTGTCTCAGATTGGATAATAGCAACGTGTCTCTACCACCGACTCCATTTGCTCTGCAACATGGACGTTTTATCTCCACAAATAACAAGTCTGGAGGAGCTTCTGCTGTGTGGTGAAATTGATAATGCTAATGGTTAGCATCTGCTAGCTGAGACATTTCTGGACACTCAACCAACAACAGTCACGAGTCAAGATGGGTGAGTCCATGATTGTTAAGTGCAGTGTGACATAGAGCTGTGTATTTTTAAATCCTAGAGTTTTACCATCCATTTTCTATCAGAAGCAGATGCAGGAGATAGGTGAAGAGGAGTATTTTCATCTACAGCCTGCATGAAAAACCCACAGTGACAGATTTTAATAAAAAATAATCATGAAAAAAGTTTTTTCAGTGTTCTACTCCTTTAATGAAGAGTAAATCTCATGCTTGATGACTAAAGCTAATAAACAAGCTTCCACCTTTGCTGTTTTGTCTTTTCCGCCAGTCCGTCCCCTAAAGCGGTGATTCTCAAACTGGGGTCAGCACAAATTTGTCTTTGCGGAGGTTGTAAGGTTAGCAAGATTTGACTTGTAAAAACAACATACTGTAAATTAAATCCCAATAACACACCCTACATTATAATTAAATCTCTTTCTATAAAAGTTATAACTGTCAGTAAATGATCACGTTTCATGTGTGTAGGGGTTGGGGTTTGGGGTCCTGCCTAGTCTTGGACAAGGAGGTCCTCAAGGAAAAATGTTTGGGAACTACTGCCCTAAAGTGCCCATAAGTTTTATGTTCCTGCTCCTCCTGTTTGTGTGTGAACGACTGTTGCATTTTATTGTTTTTACTGTACTGCATTTATTTACAGTCATCTATGAATGTTTACAAAATGACTTTGACTCTGCACGTGCCACATAGCATGCAGTGGTTAAATGGTGAATCGGCACTCCCCTATGGATCATGGTCCAATCGTTAAGAACGGTATGGTCACACTGATTGGATACGTTTGTTTTAAGATTGTACGTTTCAGAGGCGATTAGAAATCTTCCCTTTTTTTGACAAAACATTTAATTAATCAGTTGCCATTGCTAAGTGAACAGCATTTCATGCAATATGGCAAAAAATCTCCAGAGATACATCTCCTTCTGCGCCTTTAAGAAATTCAGTTAAACTCATAGGTTTACAGAAGAGTGAAGAGTAAACTGAATACTCCTCCATATTGGTTAGGTTCTTTAAATATGTACAGGGATATAATCAAGAATTGTAACCAAAACTCAGCTACAGTTATCTACATTTTTATTTCCTTCACTAAGACTTGGTGATAATAATGTGACCCTGTCAGTGCCTTTTTCCTGTTTCATGCATTCCGCTCAAGTTGCCATTCATTGTGTTTTTGAGCAAGACACGTCACCTGACTTACCTTCTGGTTGGAGGGCCCAGTAGCATCTGTGTTCAGCAGCCCCACCTCTGTCAGTGATCTCCAGGGCAGCTGTGGCTACATTGTAGTCGCTCATTACCACCAGCGTGTGAATGACTGCTGTGTTGTAAAGCACCTTGGGGGGTTGTAGGACTCTAGAAAGCACTTTATAAGTGTTTATCATTTATCATTACAGGAAATATAATTGATATAGTGATTGTTGCAACATTTATACCACATCAGAATCCTCTTTATCACTAAATACTGTCTGTCGTTTCCACTGGATGACCACACTGTCTCTGTACGAATATCAAACTGTCTCTCTGACATATCAAAATGGATGAAATTCCCCCATCTCCAACTCAACCTCTCTAAAACTAAACTACTTGTCATCCCAGCAAAACCATCCATACAGCACAATACCTCAATCCAAAATGACTTCCTATCTCTGGCTCCTTAAAAGGCAGTTCGAAATCTGGGTGTTGTGATTGATGAACACCTGACCTTTAAAGATCATGTTGCCTCTGTCGCTCGTTCATGCCGCTTTATGCTGTATAACATACAAAAGATCAGACCATACCTAACACAACATGCCACCCAGCTCCTGGTGCAATCTACTGTCATCTCCTGCCTCGATTACTGCAATGCCCTTCTAACTGGTCTTCCAGCCTGTACTGTGAGACCTCTTCAAATGGTCCAGAATGCAGCGTCTGGACTTCAATCAGCCAGAAAGAGCACACTCCACCTCTCTGTTCATTGAGCTCCACTGGCTACCACTATCTGCACGCATCAAATTCAAATTGCTAACACTAGCATACAAAGTCCGAGATGGTACGGCTCCCATTTACCTGAATTCTCTTGCAAAGGCTTACTTCCCGGCCTGGCTGCTCCGGTCATCACAGGATCGTCAGCTAGCAGTGCCTACACCACTCTCAGGACAATCCAGACTCTTCTCATGCATCATTCCACAAATGTGGAATGACCTACCAAGCACTACAAGAACAGGGGCTTCCTTTTCGACTTTCAAGAAACTCCTGAAGACCCTGCTCTTCAGAGAGCATCTTCTAAACTAGCACCCTCCCTGCACCCCTCCCCCCTTTCTACCGTCCACTCCTTTGTTCCCTCCTCTCCATGTTTCATCATGCTGCCTCACTGCCACCTACGACTGACTGGAAATTGTTTGTTGGTGTCATTGTTATTGTTGTTGTTAGTCTCAAGGGCAACATGCCGATTATCACTTGTAAGTTGCTTTGGACAAAAGCTTCTGCTAAATACATACACATAAACAATGCAACTAGAGCTAGCTATCACTGTGTCAACCTGATGAGGAAATATAAAATCAACATTGTTTTACTGAACAATCACATGATAATAAATCACAGTGCATTTAGTGCCAACCACAGCCTTAAGACATGTGTTGAAAATGCCCAAGTCCATACTTATGAGAGCACCATGTGAGCATGTGTGCGTACACGTGCTTGTATATGTAAGGTTTCTCTATAGGAGCGTCCAATAGAGAGTGTGAGGGGCCACAGATCTGCCCCCCAAAGATGTGTAGGAGATGGAGGGAGCTCTAAGTCCCAGAGATCCAGGAGCTGCCCCAGTGTGTAGGGACCCCAGGGAGACTGTACCCAGAAAAGCCCCAGCCCTCTCGAAAGGCGCAAAGGATTGCCCCGGGGGGTCACAACCAGGAGCTGGCAGAGTCCCAGGAGATAATAAGTGGCAACCCCACAGGCCTGCCTGCAGCCTCCTACCCTCAAGCCGGCCGAGCCCGGAACCCAGCGACCCGGGACCCAGGGGCGACCAGCCCCGCCGGGGGCCCAACAGAGCCCAGGGACTCAGATCCCACCAGGCAGCCACCGGGATCAATCAGGCAGACTCCAAAAATCTTAAACCCCCTGACCCGGGAGCCGCGAACACTCAGGCAGATCTGGTTTTGGATTTTGAAAGGAAAACTAACAGCCCTGTTGTTTAAATGTCATGTCTTTATCAGACCAGTGAGACTGTCAGAGAGTCTGAATGGTGTTTAAAACATTCCCATCAATGGTCAAACTGGTCTGTTTGTTCCAGTGTGCTGAACTACTCCGTCGCGTCGGTGCCAGAGGCCAGTGGTGATGGAGGAGAGTTCTTCTGCGTCAGGCAGGAAGATCTCAGCCACGGCAAGAAAATCAAAGACTCGTTGTTCCCATGGTAACTAACACCAGTCAGATTTTTCTCCCGATCGGTCTCCGACATTGGCCTCTCTGTTGGTCACTCATCTCTTTAGAAAGTTGAACAGTAATTTTAATCTGGAGGCTTTATGTTGTCAGTCAGGCATTTATTGGCTCTTTCTGTTTGTTTTAGTGATTGTGAGGATGGGGAAGTTCTCACACTGTTGTGCCAAGGTAAGTCAGTACAAGTCTAAACTCTTTCTTTCTGACACACAAGCGTACTTAAACATCTTTTTCTACATGTTTTTGACCATCTCTACTGTACTGTTTTATTGCTTCAGTCGGATTTCTTTCTTTTTATGTCACATCCTGCAGCTCAGTATTGTATGTCTTCCATTCATGTTTACAACTTTTTGTATAATTGTGAAAAATAATTATAAATGTTTAAAGTATTTTTTCCTGTGTTGGTTAAAGACTGTGGCAGACGTAGTTTTGCTGCAGATCGCATCGTTGGAGGTGTGGATGCACGGCAGGGCAGCTGGCCATGGCAGGTTAGCTTGCAGTATGATGGTGTTCATCAGTGTGGAGGATCCATCATCTCCAATCGCTGGATTGTCTCAGCAGCTCACTGCTTCCCAGAGTGAGATTTTTTCTATATGAATCATCCTTATTTTGCTGATGATCACTCAGCATCTGTTTGTGGAGCCACCCAAACCTTAACCAGGGTTTCTTCTCTCATTCCAGGCGCTATCGCTTCATTAATCGCTGGCGAGTCCTCCTGGGCTCCATCTATAACAAACCGGTCAATGCTAATGTGGCAGAGGTGAAGACCATTGTTTACCACAGCAGCTACCTGCCTTTTGTAGACTCCAACATTGATGACAACAGCAGGGACATTGCTGTTCTGGCCCTCACACAGCCGCTCACCTTTAATGGTAGGTCGGCCACCATTACACTCCCGTACAGACATCACAGCAGTGATTCTAATAGATTTGGATACATTTGTGGTACATTGGGTAATTTTTGTGCCACAGTGTAGAACATAAATGATGGGACATGTCTGCCCTCTGGTGTCCATCATCATTAACTACAGAAATGTGCTGAAGTCAGGTGGACTGATTCTAAATCTCAACACAGATTTAAATAAACACTGAAGTAAAGCTTGACACTAATGTAGTAATCAGCATTAGGATATTTATCATCAGCGTTAATAACATTCTCATCCACTCATTTTAAAAAATTTATCTGCTATAAATGAATGCCTCGTGAGTTGTGTTCTGAGGAAAATAAGCTTTGGCTCTCCTGTTTCAGGAAGTGGAATTGGGGGTGGGGGCAGGATTCCACATTAACATTCATGGTATGCTATGAAAACGAGAGAAACAGTGTTTTTATGACCTGCATGTTTCCCATCTATTTCTTACAATGCAGGAAATAGAGGTAGAATAGCATTTTTGCGTTGTATGTTTCGTTACATATGATACTCAGAGTGACCGATTATATTCAAATACATATATATTTGAAGGAACCCATTAATCCCAATAAAACTACTCTGTTGTGTTAAAGGAGCAATATGTAAGAATTCTACAGTAAGGTATATAGCATCACACAACAGTCTAATGTCTCAGTCATGTTGGAAGGAAGGTTACATTGGTACACATTTAATTTTCAACTGGCTGGGGTGGGGTGTCAGTTTTTCTCCTTTCAACAAAACTTTAGCAGAACATAGTTACTGTTCACAATGAGTCCTTTTGACAAGACATGGAGCTAAAAGCTCCAGAGTTGTTTAATGGTGTGCATCAGTAAAATAACATAATTAAAATCTTATTTCTGATTATAATCGTGCAGGCTGAACATAAAAATAGTCTCCTACACCTCTCTCCTGCATTAGCTTCTGATAGAAAATAGATGGTGAAACTTTAGGATTACTGTCACTGTCACTAAACATTCATGGACTCACCCATCTTGACTCACGACGTGTAAGGCTGTTGTTGGTTTAGCATCAAGAAACTGCAGAGAACGTCTCGGCTAGTAGAAGCTAAATCTTAGCATTAGCAACTTCATCTCACAGCAGAACTCCTCCAGGCTTGTGTTATTTGTGGAGCTTAGGGTGACCATATTTCCATTTCCAAAAAAGAGGACAGGGGATCTGTGCCTATGATGTCCTACTATGGCAACGCCACACAAACCACGTTGGGACCCATTTTTTGGTAAGAGCTAAAATTAATATTAGATTCTGCCAATAAAAAGGGTTCTAAAACAATTCATATGTAAAAAATGTACATATTTATTGCAAAATCTCATTTTTCTGCTCCTTTCTTCTCCTGGCACTCACAGAGCACAGTCGCTTCTGCTTTGCTCCCTCATCTTTTTTTTTTCCCAAGGCTCTTTTTGTCCTTGTCTGCCTACAGACCACTTCTCTGCATTTCCTCTGGAAATCACTATTTTTCAGAAATGGATTTAATTAACTGGTCATTCAATGCAATAAGATTTTTTTCTACGATGAGAACGGAGGAGGGGGGCTCCCACTTGCCCTCACGGGACACACGCAGCAGGATATATGCTCGATTCCTGGAAGGTGTGGAATGTCATCTGTCTCTCTCAGCTGTCCATTGAGGACGTCGAAGATATGTGGATATTTGGCCTGATGATAACTGGATTTCTTCTGATTGGAGTGGGAGGATATCTGGTTTTCCGAAAAATTGGGATGACGGGAGCGATTGGAGGGCAACCAGCACCCATGGACGGCACCGTCCGGGCGGAGACCTCACGGACTGGGACGTTACTCGAGGTGAATCGTAAGCTGGACAGTGTCTTAGCTGCGTTACCGGTGCTAGTGCGCAAAATGGATGTCATCTCGGAGAGGGTCACCGGACGGTGTGGAGATGTTTAATAACCCGAATTGGCTTCACTGAAGGACTGGAATGATCAGTTCCCCCCCCCCCCCCCCCCAACGGAGTCTCATGTTGTGAATGTTGAAGTTTGTGCTTATATGTTTGAGGTGTTTATTCTGCATAGTACAGCTACGCCCTGTCGGGTGTAACTCTGGTATGCTTTTTTTTCCCTCCACCAACCTATTCTCATGTAATTCCTTTTCATCTATTAAGGTAGCGCGACTCATGTTGCGAATGACCGCAGTCACCAATTCTTGTCATGTGTCTTGCCCATGTATGTCTGATCTCTGAATTGTGTGTACTGAAACTCAATTTCATTTCTCTGTATGTCTTGCACATGTGGTAGAAATCACAATAAATGACTTTGACTTGACTTTAGTGCTGCAACAATGTTTTATTAATACCAATTTATTATACCTTTTGTTTTACTACAGCATCGGTAAGCTTCCTGTGCACAGATTATTAAGGATGCTTGGTTCAGCTGTGAGATTAGATGATAGGGTCAATGAAAAAAATAAGTTGTCACACACTCCATGGAAACTTTCAGAGAATCCACAAATAGTGGCTTTCAAATGGTTTTGTTACTTTATGCAAGTTTAGAAAAGAAGCAGATGAGACAGCATGTCTGATAATTTAGTTTTTCATCTGATAATTTTAGAACATGTCAGTAATGTCTGAGGGGCTTTTATAAACACTGTATAACTAATACTCCTGGAGAGGGTATGAATTACACAGAGGCTTCTGGGGAGCCCAGTTATAGGGGTGGGGGGGTGTTATGTTTCCCCTTGGCCCCCAAAATGCCTTGAAATGGCCCTGGGTGTGTGACTGAGATTTGAAGGTGATCTGAATTGTATCAAATGTGTAAGTATTACATGTGTATAACTTATTGTTTTATAAAACGTGTGGTGGAGCTAAATCTGCGTACATTTTACTTTTCAACACTTTGTTTTGTTTTCTTGTTTTTATTTAACTATTGTCCTGTCCTGTCCTGTCTGTCTCTCATCTTCCTGCATCTCCTCTAAACTCTGCAGAAAAACTGCTGCCTGGATTCTTACTTTTTCACCTCACGAGTTACTTTTGAACTACGCCGCAAAGCGTGCACATTTCGATGCTGCGTCAGTGAGGTGGAGTCACCCCAGCACAGGTGATGAGCTCCGCAGTAGCAGAGCGCTTCAGGCACAAATAAGACAGAAAGTAGAGAATATAAGCGGACATGAACGATCGTGGGTTAATGATAGTTTTTTGTTTGCGCCACTTTGAGAATGGACCGTGCGATGGACGCAGCTGCCCCGGGCGCACCATCAGCGCTCTGCCGCTCTCGGTGCTCTCCGCTCAAAAGAACCCCCGATACGCTGAGTCCATATAAATTATGCAATATAGGTAGAAACCTTTTTTCTGGCTCTTCCTGGATGTGTAGGATATCCAGCCCCCCCATAATTCGATCCCTGCTCCTGGATGAAAAACCGGACATTTTCATCAATGCAAGACCGGACAGAGAGTGAAAAGTGGACATGTCCGGGGAAAAGAGGACGTATGGTCACCCTAGTGGAGCTTAAACATCAACGTTGCAAGTCAGTGGTAGAGTCCGCTGCTGTTATCCAATCGGGGCAAAATGTTGAAATATCAGGAAATGGAATCCAAAACGAGTTGTCTGAAGCTCAGCTGTGATGTGGCTCATTTGTAGTTCCTGGAAATGGTGCACCCCCAGTGGCTGCAACATTTTGGTGTTGTTGCCCCTTATCAGCTTTAATCTCCATGGCAACACTGCCTGATCAAACCAATAATAGAAAAATGGGTGAATGAAAAAATGAACTAAGCTTCTGGTGAGGTGTTAAACTTCTGCTTGTGTTTGTAGAATACATCCAGCCTGTCTGTCTGCCAGCTTATGGCCAAAGACTGATAGACGGGCAGATGGGAACCGTGACGGGCTGGGGGAACGTTGGATACTACGGTGAGTAGATTTTAGATTTGAGTGTGCCTTCTCACACGCTGCCCCTCCATTTGCTTCAGGCACCTTCCCTTTGTAGGTTTAAGTCTGCCCTCAACACACACTATAGCCTGGCTTTTCCCACATGACTGTCTTCATACTTCAGTGACACTTCTCTACTACCGGCAGCTTGTGACATTCCTCTGTACTTTCTAGCTCACTAACGTTGCTCGGTTAGTTTTTACTTGTTTCTCTTTTATCTCTTATCTTAGAGCTTTTACTTGTTTTATGATTAGTTAACTTTTATTGTAATTTTATGCCTTGCTTTTATGTGTGTTATATGTTTTAGCTTCTATTTCATTCCTATTCTGTCTTTGTTGTTGTGTGTGTCTTTCGCTCTCTACAGCACTTTGGTTAGCTGCCATGCTATTTTTAAATGTGCTTTATAAATAAACTGGTATGGTAGATTTTCTGAGTAATTAGCAGTGACGTCTTTAGCATTATACATTATGATGGGGCACAACTACTCAACAGCGTGCATACACAACCACGTGGGCGCAATATAGCAACATCATCTCCCTATTTTCACTCTCTGGTTTAATTTTTAACTTTTCTTCAAGTGGCAAAGTTCTCTTTATTATTTTTCTTGCTTGTTGTTGTTAGCTAACCAGCAAACGCCAACTTGGCTGCTGCTGGTCCATACAACAGAAACATAAGCTCACGTGTTTTTCGCATCTCTTGATTGGATGATCTGAGCTTGGGGCCGGAGTCTCTGCGCCCTACGGCTTATCATTGAGAATGAGTTGAGCACACGCACTGTGATTTCAGATCTTCCTCATTTAAAATGGACACAGACTTTTTGCTACTTTTAAACAATCAACATTTTGACTATAACTTCATGAACAGCCTTGGTTTACTGCTGAGGTGACCTGGTAGTCCCAGTGAAGCCCAGACAAGCAGCTCCATCTCCAACATTATTTTATAACGCAATTAAACCAGTCACATTACAGTTATTTACCTGGAATTCTGTGGTTGTTTATAAGGACAAATGTCATCAACAGCAGAGAAATGTTAGCCTAGTGAACTAGACCAAATTCTTGCTTTGCAAAGTTTGGTACGCTCCATTGGAACCTCCGCAGCTCCTACCAGGACTCTGGCTAGCCAATCACAGCTCTCTAGAGGGGTTTCAAACACATAAAGAGCTGTGATTGGTCCATAATGGTGGGCCAGTCATAGTGCTCTATCTGCTTAGTGAACAAATCACAGAGCTTTGTCCGCTTTGTGGGCCAATCAGGGCACTCTATATGTCTGGTGGGTGGGATGATGCAACAGAGTGAAACAAGAGTATGTCACATTCATTGTCCAGTGGAATGCGGAGATCATTTGAAAGACAACGGTAGAACCCGCCCCACAACTGAGAGCCATCAATGGACCGTGGCCAGACTAAATAATACATTTATTTAGTCTGGATTGCCAAGCAAGAGAAATGTAGCATCGAGGAGTCACATCCAACTGGAACTTCTTTATATTTCTGCTTAAAGAACCACAAAACTGACAAAGGTTAAAAGGTTTACACAGAAAAACTGTATTTATTCATAACTTTCACATATACTTAAATCATTTTAAATGAGACACAGTTGATGATTCTGTTTGCTTTGTTGTTTTCTTTTTTCCAGGTCATCTAGCTGATGTTCTTCAGGAAGCAAACGTTCCCATCATCAGTGATGCAGTCTGTAATGCTCCTGATTACTATGACAACCAGATTACCACCACCATGTTCTGTGCCGGCTTTGAGAAGGGAGGCATCGACGCCTGCCAGGTCAGGGTTTGTTTAGTAAAAAGCAATCCACTAAATATCTGCACCAACATTGGTGTCGGTCTGGTAAATAAAACTGGGCCAAAATTAAAGACAGATGTTTCATCCATCTTGTTGCTGTTTACTATGCCATACCATTTTATTTCTATAGGACATATAAAAGCAGTGACTATAGAAAGTCAAGAGGGCTGACTAAAAGCTTGAGCTTGAACAGCAGCTTCAGAAAAACACACATAAGATCACACATCCAACGGTTTGATTGCAGTCAGTGGAGGAACAGTTTGTTCCACAGAAGCATCAAGCAGCTGCTGCCTGCATAGACAGCAGTTATCTCATACAAAAAAATCACACTTTGAAATGCACTTCGGCTAGGGGTGTAACGGTTCACGGGAGAGTGTTGAACTGTTTCGGTTCGGCCTGTTCGGTTCAGTCCACTTGCGTAATGTTTTGGTTTATTATTTTCCGTTAAATACTGAATTTTTATTTGCATGATTTAAGTGTAGCAGATGAAAGTTCCTAGGCAAGTTGCCGCACGCACACTGTATTGAGTGATGCATGATGGCTGCACGTGCCTGATCTCTGTTTAAAAAATGTGATCTGCAAATTCTGATCAATGCCTTTCAGAGTGTATCAAACCAGCTGGCTGTCGCTGCTACTGGAGCCTGTAGAGATGCTGAACGGAGCGTTGCCTTGCCCCTCCTGCAGGCACGCAGCAGCAAAAATGTAAACATGTCTGCTGAACTTTCCCCCTGGGACAATTGATGTAAAGTTTTTATCCTACAATGAAAAATACAGCGCAGAAAGGTTGTTATTTAATACGAGTTTTAAAGAAGAAACTCTGGGCGGTGTGAGGTGAGTTTTTAAGGCTCGCTGCAGAAATAAAAACACAGCATCAACAGTCAAACACAACATTTGTCTGTATGAATGCGACACTCATAGTTGCGCAAATAACCTGTGGAATAATTAAAGACATCATGCTAGATCAGCAGCTTGTGATGACACCTGGTTCTGCTCACTTAACATTTTAAATAAATGAATAAATATAATAATAATATACTGAAATTAATCGAACCGAGCCCTTCAAAACCCTGAACTGAACCAAGCATACTGTTACAACATTGCCAATGGCATATCATTTGTGCATTTATTAGTTTATCTAAGGCAGGGGTGTCAAACTCAAACTCACAAGGGGCCGAAATGAAACTCTGGGACGGAGTCGAGGGCCAAACTTAATTTTTTTTTTAAAGTGACGGCAAATTTGCACATTTTCTTTATCAACATATATGCAATTTTGAACCTTTAAATTTGGAAACAAACTTATTTCTGCATTAACACTGAATGTGGAATAACCAAATTACACACGAGCAAGTCCGTTTTAAATAAAAGGCATCAGTGATGTTCACTACTTGTGGTATAATCAGCATTTTTAAAATCTATTCAGGATTTATGTTTTCTTGTTTATTCATTTTTCTTATTGTTTATTCTCCTTTTTTTCTCCTGTAATAAGTGTCATCGCTGCTGTGACATCTAGCTTTCCCCACTGAGGAACAATAAAGGGATTTTCTATTCTATTCATCTATCTGCAGCCTTTCCCGTTCCTGTTTACTGTAGGTTAAATCTTTTCTCACGGGCCAACAACAAAATAAAAATATCATTTTATCTTAAATGAAAATGCAACATCTCACCTGTTAACTTTCATGTTTTGGAGCAGAAAAAGAGCATAAAACCAACATATTTAAAGCTCAGTTTGTTCCACTGGTTTACTGTGATGCTCACCTTTTCCAGCCAGATTCCTGCATCATGGGGTTGATCTGAGCTGAGGAGGGGACTCCTGTTGTTTTGTTCATCTTCATCATAATAATGACAACATTAGATGACAACAGGTGCTCACATAGGTTTGTGCTGATGAACATGTCTGAGCAGCTTGACCACGTTGTTGTGTGTCGGGGAGGAAAAACGACAGCAACCACAGAGTCGTGCTGGTTTGAGTGTGTCGCTGCTCGCTGGAGTTATATCGGCTCTGTTTGGAAGTTAGTTGGAACACTTTTTCTTTCAGTCGTGAACACGTTACTGAGCGGCTAGAATCTCCGTTTCTGGGCTTCAACGTCAGAAAATAGCTGAGAAAACTCGGCGCTGAGTGAGAGGAGTGTAGTTTGTCCGAGACAGTGGAGCTGCAGAGACCGGCACAGTGCTGCCAGATCCAAAATCCCACAATATCGTACAGAAAGGCTTAAATTATCGTTTTTCAGTACAAATTATCGTACATTATAAATTTGATAATAACGTTCTATAAACGACTTCTCACTCCAATATAATATAACAAAGAAGGTGTTTTATAATGCCCTGTTTAAATAAACATCTTTAAAAACAGTAATATAATGCTTATAAACGTGCAGAGTTTGTCAGCACCACTCCGACCTCCACGCATTGACACAGTATGCACATTTGCGCAGTCCTATTTATTTCATTTCTACGTAGGTTAAAAGCACGTGACAAAACATCACAGCAGTGGAAAAACTGACCCAATAAATGACACAGCAGCCTACTCACCTAGTTGCTGATCTCGATCTCTTCATCTGATTCACTGTCTGTCACAGCAGAATGCCTTTAATCACCTGTACTAAGTGGTCTGTGCTTCTCATTGCAATGTTGTGCTGGGCTAAAAAGCCACATAGCTTGATTTCAGCGTTTTTCCACATAATTTTCAAACTTCTCTTTTTCATTAGTTTGTAGGAGACATTTATAAACCTGTAAGCACTGAGGTGAAATCTGACTTCAGAACAGTTTAAAATTATGTAATTGACTTGGGAAAGCCACAGCAAAAGATGGTGTTACTAGATGCAATGTGAAATTATCGTACATTTGAGGATTTTTGAAACTATTGATCGCACATCGTAAAGAGCCCAAAATTATGGTACAAATACGATAATTATCGTACATCTAGCAACACTGGACCGGCAGCAGGCGCTGAAAAAACACAAAGGA